TTTAGACACCTAAACAAATTTCGAAAATATTCCTAACAATATCTCAGCGTCGAAAACCATACGAAATTCGATAAGATGGCCATCAAAATGTATATTCATCTTCTATTCTAAGATCATATTTGCGATCAGCGTAGGAAACTCAACCAGATTGGATATGCATCTTAGGCGGATTTGAAAAAAGTTTTTTTATGACATAAAAGCGCTATTTTCCAAGACAATTTTGCATTCCTGGAGAAAATGTCTAAATAATGCAAGTAAAGTTAGCAGCAGATGCGAGTTTTATGGAGAAATATTCGCCCATAGACTTGTGCCAAAAAAATCTTTGTTGTGCCGGATAGAGCATCGAATATACTGTGAAATGCCTAGCTTTGGAAAAATTCTATCATGAGGAACGGCTGTAAAATTCAAAAAGCTATTTTCAAAACATTGATTTTTCGTCAAAAAACCAGTATTTCGGCCTAATATTCATTTTGAAAGCTGTGCCAGTTAAAAAGGCACTTGTGCTAGACAGAACTGAACGAGATCTATCGAATGATAATAAATTCATCCATGTTCATCATCATGGTCGGGGTCTAGGAGAGTGGCAAATGGTTTTGGAGAGGTTTGGCATCCCTATTAAGACCAAATATTCACTAAGAAAGTTGTACCAGTTGAGAAACCACTAGTACCACATAGAACGCCATGAGATCTTTCGACTGGTACTTAATGAACTCATTTTCATAATCACAGTAGGCATCTGTAAGGGCGGCACACTATTATGAAGGGGTTAGGAGTCCCTATTAGGACGAAATATTCATTTTGAAAGTTGTGCCACTTGAGAAAGCAGTTGTGCCAGATGGAACTCGGAGAAATCTATCGTTTGATACTAAATTAGCCCATGTCGATCATCATAGGCAGGTTCGAGAAGGGCGGGAAGTGGTTACAGAAGTGTTTGAGATTCGTATCAGGAGCATTTATTCATTTTGATTGTTTTGTCATTCTGAAAAGCATTGGTCTCAATGAGATGTCAACGATAGCTGTGGTTGGAGCTTAAAGCGCGCGATGCTCATGAAGAAGGTCGGCTTCAACATAGTTAGTGTTGTGTCGGATAGCTTTTTGCCCCATGTTACGAGTCGAATATTCGTTTTCTGAAGTGTGGTTAGTTGAAACACAGGGTGTTTTTAGAACAAAATCGATGAAATCTTTTGAATAATGTGATTTTCAATGGTATTGTGAGCTCGCAATACCTGTACATGGAGACTGTTCGGCCGCATTAGATTCTCTTGGATCTTGTTGTGTGATGATTCTTTCCCTGATCTGTACATTGTGTTTTAAATAATTTCAAAAATAAGCTGATTTCACGGGTAAAATCATCGTTTTTGGATGATAGAATTTGTTTTTCAGATATTAGTGAACGATATGTTGGTTGTGTTTGAGGTACGAAGTTTCGAGTTTCCTCAAACTGATAGTTGAATATTGGAAAACGTCGAGTTGTGATAAGAGTCTCTATAAACTGAAAGTTCCGGTTATGGAGCTAGCAGCCTACGCAAAAGGAAAGTGGCGGTGTATGCGCGTGTACTGGAACAGAAAGTTGGTAGGAATAACGGTAATCTGAAACGGAAACATCCAAGAAGCACAGAAATAGTTAGGATGAACTGCAGGAAAGCGTCGCTGAAGTACAAAGGAAGAATTTTGTTTTACCGTCGACAAAGCGGAATGAAGTTTGAAGAGTGCACCAACAGAAGAAAAGGTTTATTTCAAGAAACAGGTAAGCAACTGACTTCGAAAAATTCCGGTAGGCATTTCGAAACCTCTATCACCGAACATACAAGTAGTGACAGTGCTACAGACGTCGGTCTTCAGGCATGTAGCCGGATAATCGATAGTTCTTTTCGAAGTTAACTTTTGGAGTTATTCACTGAAAGCTCTCTTTTTTTTATCATCGTGCAAATGGATTGAAAAAGAAGCGAGGAGAAGACATACCAAGATAACATAAAGACATGAGAGATAGAAGGTGATCTCATGATTCTGTGCCTAACTCTAAACACATTGCCGCCGAAAAAAGGAAAATATCACTCATTCTCCATTTCAGCTACACAATATGACTGAGAAAATTAGCGAAGACGGAAGGCTAGAATTTCAATCAATCTGACGGAATAAGGAATCAATTAGCGAAGATATGTGCAAGACGATGAGAGAGACAGTTCACAAATGAGAAAGAAAGAGGAAGCCGGCAAAGAAAGTAAGACAAAGACCCGCACATAAACTCAAATAATCGCATAGTTATACATATGAACACACAAAGAATATAAATTCCAATGTCACTCCTGTTTAGCACAGATAAGCCACAATTGCAAATGTCACATTTGAGAGATACCGAAGAAACACTTTGCTAATATCTGTTCGCCCGACAAAATTTACGATGACTCACGTAATCAGATATTGCCTCCCAACGTTTACTGCTTACCTTGATGATATTCAACGAAAACAGCATATTCCGCTCCACAATCTGAAATTGCGCCTGTGATATTAACACAGACACCCAACACAAGTAAGCTGTGGTATGGTAATCGCACGCAAACGCTGCGACTAGTAAAACGTTCCATATTCTCCTCCGTACGCTATACAACGAAATTTCAACCAATCCGCAGGATGCAAGCTAATACAATTCGACAGATCCCATTAAATTCCATACGGCCCATCTGTTTTGAAAAAAACCCAAAAACTCACAACGTATATTTCTGTTTCTTATAGGCATCCATATTATCCTCTATCAATTATTCGCAAATTTGACACCAATCCTTGTACTGCACATAAGTCCACTCAAGAACAATCAAAGCATCCCCTCGAGTTCTCTCAGATGAAAACGTTTTCTTAAACGACTAACATCTTTAAGCGTCTCTTAGGTCCTGCTATGTATCCAAAGCAGCTTAACGAATACCTTTTCCTATCCCAACAAGTAAACCTTCACCATAAAGATGAATAAATATGCTACGTATCTATACATCACAATCAGTCCTATCTAACACAAATACGTTCCAAACTGTTACAATTTTAAAAATGCACATTCGGTCATAAGAGTGGCCCCGAATACCAGCATAGCTAACTATCGCCGTCATGTGCTCTGACCATGATGATGAACACGTGTTACAAAAATAAATGATTTATTTATCTTTATTTTATGAATATAAAGATTTTAATCATCATTACTTTTAAAGAATAAAGGTATTTACAATATCTTTAATCTTTATTTTATAAATATAAACACTTTATTTATCTTTATTTTCCAAATAGAAATGTTTTATTTATATATACTCTTTAATATAAAGGTCAAAAAAGATACAGTAACTCTAGTCGAACATCTTGTAAGCAAGATCTTGAAATCTTGGGATTGTTAAGCAAGATCTGATCAAGATCTTAAAAAGATATCTGGCATGCATATATCTTGGCCGTAGCAAATAAATCTGTACTCAAGATCTTGGAAAAGATATTATTTTCTATTATCTTTTCCCAAGATTTTGACTAAAACAAAAAGCGACACCATTAATTTATTAACTTATTTTAACATTATTTGATTGCTTGGAACTATGCTGCGAACCCAATCGTATAAACTTGTTAGTCTCATTCATGTTTAAGAAATTGAGCAATTGCGGGGGCATTTGTCAACCAATAGATTACGAGCTATGAAGAACAAAGAAGGAAGAAAAGATTATTGAACAGAAAATTTATAATGTAGTAACACCGTTTTTTAGACTAATCTAGTATGAATTCAAGAAATATTCGTATTTTACAAGAAGATGGTTGATGCTTCGTTACGATAGAAAATGATTTAGAACTACAATTTTTTAAGATCTTTTTGTTGGAAAAAGATAAAATAGAAGACGTTTCAATTTTAATCAAATACTATATTTAGATAAATTCTTTAATTTCTTTCTTTCCATAGTAACTTTTCTAAGATATTGTAGAACTAAAAAATGTTAAATTTGTTTTATTTCTAGATTTTTTTAATATTGTAATTTAAACTAAGGGATGAAGATTTCGTACATATATAAACATCGACTTGATGTTATGATTATCATCTAATGCCTATTAATTAAATTCAAGGCGAATGATGATTCAACATAATTAAAAACAAAAAAAATTAACTTTCTAAAAAGATTAGAATCCTATGTACATAAAAGCAGAAGATATCAGTTTTTCTACAATGCAGCTCTTTTTTATTTGAATTTGCATAAATAAAAATATTTGTAAACTCTTAAAATTCCATACATGAACTGTAAAAATTGTTGCACTCTTATTATTCATATTTTTATAATACTTTTAAAGGGAATTCAGCTCGAATTACACGTTCAGATAAATATTTTCTACTATTGAAAGTAAATAAAACAGTAGGATTTTGACTGATAATATTGGAAATCCTGATTATTAGTATGAAAGATCTAATTACCAGGAACAAAGACCAATCAAAACTATCAAAAAAGATCAGATATAAAATTCAAGATATTTAATATCTGTACCCAAGATCCTATGCATGTGTACCCAAGATCTTATGGATCTGTATCCAAGATCATACGAATATGTAACCAAGATCTAATTACAGATCTTGGTACAAGATAATATGATTATCTTATGCCTAAATTTTTAAGATCTGTTCACATTTCTCTACCTTGTATCTTGACCAAGATCTTGCTTACAAGATGTTCGACTAGGGAGCACCTCTAATGATAACTATGAACTTGTTAAAATTGGATCATTTAAAATTGTTTAAAATTCTTCGAATGGAAAATATATACAGTAGTATGAATGCTATCGCCCTCTTTTCTAGTTTGAAAAGAAAGAAAGAATGAACAGAATATAGGTTTCCAATGGCATTGAAGAATAAACTATTGTTAATTGATTGTTATTATCTTATATATATATATATATATATTATAGTTTGAAGTTGAACAATTATAAATTGAACATGTCTTTTTTTCTACTCTTGGTTATATTTCTGATTATTTCATCGTCTTATTGTCGCAATGAATAGTCAAAGAATGACAGATTGGTTTCAAAATAAAGTAATTATATTAAGTTCATTGTAAAGCTATGTTAAGAAATTTCTTTTAGGTAGTTTTCATAAAAAATTATACTATTGATCAAAAACAAAGTATATCATCTGACAAATCTCAAATAAATTTAATAAAAGAAATCTTTCTTGTTGTTGATGATGATGAAATGAAACAAGAAGAAAGTAAGTTGAAAATTATTGAGAAAATAAAAAATAAATTATTTTTGTTTTATTTCTTCTATAAGTAATTATTTTATTTAATTCTGATTATTTTTTTTCTAAAAATATAACTATTATCTTTTTATTTCTAGCTGAACAATTAAATTATTTAATAAATCAACTAATTATTATCTCAGAAGAAATTCGAAAGAATCGATTGTTACGTTGTGAATATATTAAAGAATTTAAAGAAAAAATTAACAATCCAAGTGAAATGAAAAGAAAATATGATATGAACGAAGTACTCGATCGAATTTATAATTATTGCAAACACATAAATATGAAGAAAAAACAAAGAAAAGAATTGAAAGCAATTATTACTCTTATTCGACATCCTGCTCATAAAATATATGTAAGATTATTTGATTTATTTTCAATTTGTTTCACTTCTCTTATTTAGGATAAAAACAATGAAATAGTGAATAAATGTTTTGATATGAAAAAAAACGACAAGAACATCCACTATGAATATAATCTCATAAAACAACAAAATGAAAAAAATCTTCATGCACTCAAATCTTGAGGTCGTCGAAACAATCAAATATTATATGCAAACAAAGAAACAAAAAAAAGCGTTATGAAGTAATGAAAGATGAAAACGAACAAATGAAAATTCAAATGAACGTAATAGAAGAATACTTGACAAAAACAAAGTAATTCGATTTATTTTCATATCTTAATCTTGAAAATAATGTCTTTTAGAACTGCTACAAGGAACAAAATTTTAGAAGAGGTTTATGTTCGCTTTTCAACCCTCGTTATTCATGAAATTAAAATAAAATATGATGAAGACAACGAAGAAAAAAAACGATGGCATAAAAAATGCTTGAGTTTTAGATCATCTTATAATCTAACTCCGTTGAAAAATATAAAACATGGAATTATAAATGATCAATCATCAACCATGTTATAAAAACCGGATCAGTTGTAGCGGTAAACCGAAAAAAAGTAGCGGTTCACCGCGGTTCTCTCCGATTAACCGCGGTTTTTCTATGTCAAGGAGCCGATAACCGGACCGGTAAAACCGCGGTTAACCGCATGTTTTTGGCCGGTTTTCATCACATGGGCAATAATCATTAATGCAGTTCTTCTTGATTTTTCAAGCAAATCAAATATATTAATAAACGATTTAATTGATATTTTACTGAATAAAACAAAAAGAAATTATAAAGTTCATCATATTATCAATAAATATATAGATGATGTTATAAATAAATCTTGTCAAAAAACAAATTTAATAAGTTACATTGAAAAAGCAAACAAGATTAACTTGTTCATCAACAATAAAAATATAAATTTATTGATGAAATTATTATACATTAATATAACATAGTGCCAAATTGAAAATGAAATGTGAGTTGGAGAAAATAAAAAGATTTTTTTGTCTTTATAAGTTTTCAATTATTTTTTTTTTCTTTAAGATGTTCAAGTATTTGGACTTTTCTTGATGCATCAGAATCAACTAATTCGAATATTAATGATCCACAACGAATCCCTATCGTTAAACAATACATAGTTTGTTTGTTTGTTTTATTTTTGAAATAAAAACTAAATCTTTTGTTTTATAGAAAATAGGTACAAATTTAATTGATAAAATCCTATCAGATTTTTGTTGTATCGGTGATCAATGTATAATTATGCCAAATCGAACATATGTTCAAATTAAAAGAATTTATTATAATAATCCTCAAACTGATTTTTGTATTTGTGGTCAATATGTTCAAGTTAAATTAACAAATGTTAAACAAGTTTGTTTTGTTTTTTGCTTTTAGTAATTATAATATCTAATCAATATTTGTAGAATATCTCACCTGGATTTATTTTATGTAATGCTGAAAATAAAACACATGGAATAAGTCGAGTTTTTGATGCACAAGTAAAATAATTTATAAATTAAAATCTACATATATATATCTTGTATATAGGTTGCTAAAATTCATTGTATATCAATTATATGTCCAGGTTTTTTGACTGTTCTTCACATTCATTCAGCTATTACTGAAGTTGGATTGAAAAAATTATTTTGCTTAATTGATTTTACAATAGACTATGAAATTGAACAAAAAGCCAAAATTTATAAAGCCAAATCAACTAGTGAAAGGAAGATTTGAATTATTACAACGTAATCATGTTATATGGATCGAAGGATTTAAAGATTGTCATCAATTTGTTAAATTCACACTTCGTTATGATGGTGAAACTGTTGCTGTTGGAAACATTCTACAAATCATTGAATGAACAGTACATTATTATTCTTTTTTTGTCTATTATTAATAATTTTTTTTTCTTTCTATTATTACTTGATATATATTTTTCATAAAATAAAAGAAATAATTGAAATTGAAATTAATTACTTTTGTGTTTTGTATCTACTTTTGTAAGTTTTCTTAGAGCATGAAAATGATTTTGTTGATCAATGATAAATGTGTATGAATATTCGTAAGAGAGGAAATTCGCGACTCATAATAATTTATATTTGATTAATTTCATGAGTATAATATAAAGTACATGAGTAAAGTAGTTATTTGTTAATATTTATGTCTTGTAGTCGTCATTATTGTCTTGTTCATGAAAAGCTAATTGAATAATGTATTAAGAAACGAAAGAATGCGGAGCTTAATTGTTAAAACGGAAGAAATAATGAAAAACAGAAACGTGAATGGACAATAGTAATAATGATAATAATAATTACATCCGTTGGAAAAGAGCTAACTAATAGATAGGAATGGACAATAGAATGACATGATCATCCTATGTATCATGTGTTTAGTATTGATAGGAAAGCAAAAATATTATTAAATTTAAAAGAAGAAATACGAAAAAATTAACAGAAGTTAATAAAAAGAATGTTTACAAGTTATATATGAGAGTATATAAAAATCACTTCAAAGAAACTAAAATAAAGTCTTATGAAACTTGTTGTTTGTGTGATTTTTTAAAACACTTTTGTTTATAATGTTCTTTAATCGAGTAAAAGATAAAAGCCGAAGAAAAAGTTTTACTTGAAAACTTTTTATATAGAGATTACTTAATTATTAATCCTCTACCATTGATTGTTACTCACAGAGAACATTACGATGCAGGTTGTTTAAAAATATCAAAAAGGCTTAGATCCAATAATGAATAGTTTTTCATATTCAGTTAGTTTGGTAGCATAATAATTAGCAAACAAAACATTTGTCACTAACAGATATCCCAGAATAAGTTGCACTAAATCTCAGTACATTTTTCTGTCTTTTCTTAGTGATCGAAAAAATTCGCTCTTATGCCAAAACATGGAGAATTTCGTGCTCTACAAAACTGTCAATTTTTTTTTGGGGTGTGGGTGGGTGTGGACTAAAAAGAGGACACACCCACACACCCACACCCACGCCCACACCCACACCCACCCACACCCACATCCACACCCACACCCACACCCTCGATATCTCAGTCAAATTCCAACTTGGGCCCATATCCTTTTAGACTTTTTCTAGTCTATTCATTCCCTAGTTGTGGGCAAAATTTCAGTTCAAAATCTTTTTGACACCTCGGGTGGTTCCCTCGTAAGATTTGTTTGAATGAAACCAGAACCATTATGTATAGTTTACCTATTATATAAGGTGTTGCTGTATTATTATAGAAACGACCTGCCATTATTTTTACATGTTTTAAATTCAGACAATTTTTATTATCTATTGTTTGAGCCATGTGGACAAGGCATGCTAGATGTTTAACATTGATTGAAGTGATTCAATATAAGTGACTGAAATACAAAGAAAATTGTATGAAATTAATTGTTTAATAAGCATCTCATGTAGCGAATGATAATAGTCGAAGGTTAGATCGACCGAATGACATTGATCAAGAGCAAGTTGTTCCAAACGATTATTTTCAATTCCGATAATGGAATAGAGTAATAGCTCACGAGGTTTCACTTTATTTGTAATGGCTAAAATCATCTCATTTGGTAAGTTGAGTAATTCGACAATATCTTCTATACAAAAAAATAAAACAAAATGTTCACATAATTAAAGAGACACATACTTGTGTTTGATAAACATGTCATTGTTTATTTGACGCGTCTGACAGAGTAGCGGGCAGACATACACATAGTTCACAGTATATTTTTATTACATATAGGAGCGATTGATTGACATATTCCAAATAACGCGACTACCTTCCCAATTCAACATATAGTTATAGAAAGAAAAGTAAGAGAATATATTGCTCGTTAGGCATAGCAATCTTTATTATTCAAATATTGACTCGACTTAATCTATCGTTTTGGTATAATCTTGCATTTTTATTTGCTATTAAAAAAAATATAATCGATCACCATTGCATTTTACTTTTACTTCAAGCAAATGGGCCTGCTATTTTTCGTTTTCTTTTCTTTTTGAAAGAAAAACATAACGACCAATTTTAAATTATCTTGAATTATTTATGTAATTAAATTTAACATTCCATTGATCCAAAATAAAACTTTAGTGTTTCAATAAATCTTATTTCATAAATGTATGTTTGACGTTGACATGTTTTTATTATTTTTCATATGTTCATCATAATAATTTTAGCTACTTTTTGAAAATTATTTCAGTGTATCAAGAAATATTTCATGATCCATGAATAATAGTTTAAATAATTGATCGTATCATCGTGATGTCTATAGGCATAAGCATATAGTTCAATGATGTTATTTTTATTCATCGACTTTGCTTATCGATGTTAATCGAAAAGGTCAACAAAAGAATTGCTTAATAAGACAAGTATACATGGTGTTTGTCAATGTTTAAGGATACATATGAATCAATTTGAATATGTTCTACGATTTGCTCAGAGAGCTAAACATATTTATTCGACATCAAGAAGTGATGCATTAATTTTGACAACTTTATATAGTATTAAAAGAAATGCTTCTTGCGAATGAGAGTTATATGATTATTTATTCGTATGCAATTTACTGTTTTATTTCGAAAATTGAACATCCTATACAGTTAAGTATCAACATATGGTGGCAGTCAAATAAGACTGACATCTTTTCGTACATCTAATATATAAAAAAGTAAAAAACCATTTCATCTACGCTTATTTATAGGCAAAAAGAAATATATTTATTATTATGAATACTGATAAAGCATTATAGGACAGACTTTCTGCCGTGATATTGCTTCTTATTTTAAGTATTACAAAAAATTCTATCACTGATTTTTGTGTCAAAATTGTTAATTACATATATACAAGATAGTTGAATAATAACTGATGGTGAGAATGTATTTAATATAACCCATTATGATGGCTGTTGAGACCAGCGTCATAAACTAAGTTTTTGCAAAGACCTTTCTCAATGATTTTCTACTTATCACTAATGCTCAAATGGCTAATTGAGTTAAGTTTTTTAAAAGTTTTAAGTTTGTCAGGTGTATAAAATAAGAATGAATAGCTTTATTATTTAAATGAAAAACCAATTCGAGTATTCACTGGAACGTTATTGTTTATATCTACACGAGATACATTTACACACTGATTGCAATGTCACTTACGATATATTTGAATAATTTTTAATCACTTATTCAAATAATTAATTAATTTAGAAATTGCTCATCAGAGTATTTGTAGTTCACTATGTCCTATTTATTTTTTCTTTTGCTGCATTGAAATCCACTGCGACAGTTATATTCTTAAACGTTGAGACAGATTTCATCATTCTGGATGAATAATCATAAATAATGTATCGATCCGACGTGGTCTAGTGGTTAGGATTTCTGCCTTTCACGCAGGAGGC